TATTCTAATTTGTTGAGATAGTGAATTGGTGGGTTTTTGTTAAATGTGAGCCAAAATCATCACAATTAAAATAACCAAAGACTTAAACTACTTCAGTCTGTGTGCATTGAATTTATTTAATACACGAGTTTCACAATTTGAGTTGAATTACTGAAATAAATGAACTTTTCTATGACATTCTAATTTATTGAGATTCACCTGTATAGTTTTGGAGAAAACTAAATGCAAAATCACCCCAAACATCAAACTCCATTGTTGCACTGATTATTTCCGCATATTCCAACACTGATAAAAAAATGTTCTTTTATAGGTTAGCTCATTCTTTCAATTTATATGTATTCAGAGTGACCCTGACTATCACTCTATTTATTTTCAAGGCATTTTACTGTGTAGTTTTGGAGAAAACTAAAAGCAAAATCACCCCAAACAACAAAATGCGTCCTGGCACTTGCACTGTGTCCCATTTTCCAACACTCATAAAAAGTGTCCCTTTAAAGGTTAGCTCATTCTTTCAATTTACAGGTGCATCTCAGTAAATTAGAATGTGACTTTTGGTTGGTTTTCAAAAAACACAATGGACCAACACCAGCAGATGACATTGCACCCCAAATCATCACAGATTGTGGAAACTTAAGTGTTTTGAGTTGATCAGCTGATTGGCATGTCACCATATTCTAATTTGTTGAGATAGTGAATTGGTGGGTTTTTGTTAAATGTGAGACAAAATCATCACAATTAAAAGAACCAAAGACTTAAACTACTTCAGTCTATGTGCATTGAATTTATTTAATACACGAGTTTCACAATTTTAGTTGAATTACTGAAATGAACTTTTCCACGACATTCTAATTTATTGAGATGCAGCTGTATATGTATTCAGACTGACCCTGACTATCACTGTATTTATTTTCAAGGCATTTTACTGTATAGTTTTGGAGAAAACTAAAAGCAAAATCACCACAAACAACAAAATGCATCATAGCACTTGCACTGTGTCCCTGTGTCCCATTTTCCAACATTCATAAAAAGTGTTCCTTTATAGGTTAGCTCATTCTTTCAATTGATATGTATTCAGAGTGACCCTGACTATCACTATATTCATTGTCAAGTTATTTTACTGTATAGTTTCGGAGAAAACTAAAAGCAAAATCACCCCAAACAACAAAATGCGTCCTAGCACTTGCACTGTGTCCCATATTTCAACACTCATAAAAAGTATTTCTTTATAGGTTAGCTCATTCTTTCAATTGATATGTGTTCGGAGTGAGCCTGACTATCAATGTATTTATTTTCAAGTCATTTTACTGTACAGTTTTGGAGAAAACTAAAAGCAAATTCACCCCAAACAACAAAATGCGTCCTAGCACTCACACCGTGTCCCATATTCCAACACTCATAAAAAAAGTGTTCCTTTATAGGTTAGCTCATTCTTTCTACATATTATTCATATGTATTCAGAGTGACCCTGACTATTACTGTATTAATTTACAAGTCAGTTTTGGAGAAAATTAAAAGGCAATTTCACATCAAGCATCTCAAGCACATCGCAAGCACTTTTACATCATGTCCCATTTTCAAACACTCATAAAAAATTTTCATTTATAGGTTTGCTCATTCTTTCAATTGATTCCTGTCCACAGTGACACTGACTATTACTGTATTAATTATCAAATATTTTTACTGTATAGTTTTGCAGAAAATTAAAGGCAAATTCACACCAAGCATCTAAATGCTTAAGCACTTCTGCATCACGTCTCATTTTCAAACCCTCAGAAAAATATTTCCTTTACAGGTTTGCTCGTTCGTTCAATTTATTCCTGTTCACATTGACCCTGACTAATACTGTATTAATTTTCATATATTTTTACTGTATAGTTTTGGAGAAAAATAAAGGCAAATTCACCCCAAGCATCTAAATGCATTAGCACCTTTGCATCATGTTTAAATTCAAACCCTCATAAAAATATTTTCTTTAGAGGTTTGCTCATTCTTTTAATTGATTCCTGTTCACAGTGTCCCTGAGTATTAGTGTATTAATTTTCTAATATTTTAACTGTATAGTTTTGGAGAAAATTAATGGCAAATTCACTCCAAAAAACAGTGTATTCTAGCAGTTGCACTATTACCCATTTTCAAACACTCATAAAAATCTTTCCTTTATAGGTTTGCTCATTCTATCAATTGATTCCTGTTCACGGTGACCCTGACTATTACTGTATTAATTAATATTTTTACTGTATAGTTTTTGAGAAAATTAAAGGCAAATTCACCCCAAGCATCTAAGTGAACAAGCAATTTTACATCCTGTCCCATTTTCAAACCCTCATAAAAATCTTTCCTTTACAGGTTTGCTCGTTCTTTTGATTGATTCCTGTTTACAGTCACCCTGACTATTGTTGTATTAATTAGAAATTTTTTTGACTGTATGGTTTTGAAGAAAATTAATGGCAAAATCACTTCAAAAAATGAAGTGCATTCTACCAGTTGCACCATTACCCATTTTTAAACACCCATAAAAATCTTTCCTTTGTGTGTTTGCTCGTTCTTTCAATTGATTCCTGTTCGCAGTGATCCTGACTATTACTGTGTTCATTTTCAACATTTCGTATCTGTGCACCTTTACACTTTTACAATCCCATTTTCAAACACTCATAAAAATCTTTCCTTTATAGGTTTGCTCATTCTTTCAATTGATTCTTGTTCACAGTGATCCTGACTATTACTGTGTTCATTTTCAACATTTCGTATCTGTGCACCTTTACACTTTTACAATCCCATTTTCAAACACTCATAAAAATCTTTCCTTTATAGGTTTGCTCATTCTTTCATTGATTCCTGTTCTCTTTTCTCCCAAACTATACAGTAAAAATATTTGAAAATGAACACAGTAATAGTCAGGATCACTGTGAACAAGAATCAATTGAAAGAATGAGCAAACCTATAAAGGAAAGATTTTTATGAGTGTTTGAAAATGGGCAATGGTGCAACTGCTAGAATGCACTTTGTTTTTTGGAGTGAATCTGCCATTCATTTTCTCCAAAGCCACACAGTAAAAATATTTGAAAATGAATACAGTAATAGTCAGTGTCACTGTGAATGGGAATCAATTGAAAGAATGAGCAAACCTATAAAGGAAAGTTTTTATGAGTGTTTGAATATAGGACATAATGTGAAAGTGCTTATGCACTTAAGACACTTGGAGTGAATTTGCCTTTAATTTTCTCCAAAACTATACAGTAAAAATATTTGAATATTAATACAGTGATAGTCCGGTTCACTCTGAATACATATGAATTAAAAGAATGAGCTAACCTATAAAGGAACACTTTTTATGAGTGTTGGAATATGGGGCACAGTGCAAGTGCAAGGACGC